ACAAAAAAAAAAAAAAAAAAAAAGCAAGCAATGGCTCCAGGGAGCCAGGGAGGCGATCAGAGAGGCACAGCTGCAGTGCTCCCACGGGCACACCAAGTGACTCTCACCGCTTTGCTTACTTCCCTGTGCAGAGATGTGTCTCACTGTCACAGTCTAACATGGCTGCATACACAGGTGAAAATGTTGACTTTCTGATGGCCAGATTCCTCTAAGATTCCAGTCATAATGTAGTCAAGACACAAGAAGAAGATGAGGTAGATTAGATTGGCACTTTGCCAAGAATTCATCAGTTATAAAATGTAGGTGGGAAAGGCTGGCAAGACTTCATTAAAGACTGTATTAAAAAGATCTCACACGTGGGGCGCCTGGGTGGCTCAGTGGGTTAAGCCTCTGCCTTCAGCTCAGGTCATGATCTCAGGGTCCTGGGATCAAGCCCCACATTGGGCTCTCTGCTCAGCGGGGAGCCTGCTTCCTCCTCTCTCTCTGCCTGCCTCTCTGCCTACTTGTGATCTGTCTCTCTGTGTCAAATAAATAAATAAAATCTTTAAAAAAAAAAAAAAGACCTTGCACATACTGCATGAGGACATAGTACAAGTTAGTTCAACAAGCCACAGAATTGGTGCACCTGGTACTTCCATTGTCTGCACCGCAACACCATGAGCAAAAATGAAGTCTCTTCATTTGGGCATAGCTTGTAATGGGCCGAGATGTGCTGTAGCTTCTGAAGACTTGCTGCTCTCTGTCCTGTTCCTGCCTGACTGTGTACACAAAGGGAAGCAGAAGCATAGGGAAAGCAGCACTTAATTTGTCTGGGTGAATCAGAAAAGAGTTTCTGAACTCACACGTAAAGGAGGGACAGCAGTTTATAGTGCTGATAGGGAAGGGGACTGGCCTGGGGAGGGGAGAGGAGAGGAAATGGGCTCTGACTCTGCTGAGGCCGAAGTGTGGGCAGAGCACTAGGTTTTGTGGCTCCGTGTGCAGCACATCGACTTGAAAGTGGTCTGCTTTGTCAGACTGAGTGCCTTTCCTTCTTGTTCCCATCATTTATCTCACCACTTCACACAGATCCAAGGTACTACCGAGCGTATTTGTATTGGTGTAGACCCTTCTTAAGCCAATAATTAATTCCAGAAGGTGGTACATACATTTAAAATAAAGTGTTGTTTTAACTGGCAGGTGGATCTGTTGGCGCCAATGATTATTCACAGCATCATGACCCAGGGTGCCCGTCAGAAGTTCTCCAGCCTCTACATCTCTCAGTTTATCATCATGTATAGTCTTGATGGAAAGAAGTGGCAGAGTTATCGAGGGAATTCTACCGGGACCTTAATGGTATGTAATTAGTTCTTCCAAGACAATGCACGAATGTTTTAAAGAGCTTTTGAAAAAGATTGCAGATATGGGACAAACACTCCTAGCTTCTATGAACTTAATTCCAAAAAAGATTTTTCAACTTATGGGCAAAGGAGTGATTATGGACATAGGGAGAAAAAGTAGTAGCATCAGGGGCGCCTGGGAGGCTCAGTCAGGTGAGCATCTGCCTTCCGCTCAGGTCGTGATCCCCGGGTCCCTGGGATCGAGCCCCATGTCAATTTCCTGGCTGGGTGGGAAGTCAGCTTTTGCCTCCCCACCTGCTCATTCTCTCTCTCTGTATCTCTCTGCCTCAAATAAATAAATAAAACCTTAAAAAATTGTTAAAAAAATAGCACCAAAGATCTCATAGATAATAGAAATGAAGAGATGTTCTGTTGACAGAAATCTGTGGTTAGGACTGAGTGGATTGATAACATTATGAGTTTGCTTATGGATATTTTGAGTTTGAGATGATAGCAGGGAAATTCGGTTGAACTCCAGCAGGCATGAAATTTAAGACTTGAGTTTAGGGGGGCAGAACCATGAATGGACGTGAAGATTTGTGTCTTCCACATAAAAGAATGGGTGAAACCTTGGGAAATGATCAGGAGACCCTAAGTTAAACAGGCTTGAAACATTAGTATCATTGTCTACTCCTCCCTTATTTCATGCCTCCTGATGCACGGGTTCACAAGTCCAGCAGTTCTTTCTTTGTAATTCCTCTCAGAGGGCTTCTCCTGCATTTATTTAGCTGCTACTGTTGCCTTAGGCCCCCTCACCTCACTCTGCATCTGTTACGCTACATTCCTAACTAGTCATCTCTGGCTCTAGTCGCTCCCCTGATAAAAGCTGCACATCTTTTTTTTTTTTTTTTTTTGGATAATCATTTTATCAGTCCCCTGCCTAAAACCTTTCAGTGTCTTCCTCTTCTCTTCAGAATAAAGTTCAAAGTCCTCAAATGGCCCCGGGGAAGATAACTCCTGTGTTGCCCGTTAGATCCACGGTCCTGCTTCTCTACCCTGCTTCTTGGTCTTCCGTCTGACCTGTGTGAAGTACAGCAGCAGGCTACCTTATCCTCTAGCTTTTGGAAAGTGCTGGCAAGAGAGCAGAGGAAGGAAGTAGAGTAAGATCAAAACATTTATTCTTGGGGCGCCTGTCTGGCTCAGTTGATCTCGGGGCTGTGTGTTCAAGCCCCACATTGGGCATTGAGTTTACTTTAAAATATATATATATGATATTTATATATCATATATATGAGATATTTATTGATATGATATTTATTTGTTGTATTATTTATTTATATATGATATTGATATTGATTTATATGATATGATATCATATACATATGATATTTATTCTCCTGGTGCCCTGCTTTGTAGAGGATTTGGCTGTTTCTCTCCACTGAAGGTCACTGCTGCCTTCATAGTGGCTTTCTTTCCCTGGTCCGGTTACTATCACTGAGTACCAAACCACCCTGAAACCTAATGTCCTAAAAACAACCCTTCTCTTTGGTTCAGGGATTCTATGGGTCAGGACTTCTAGCGCAGTAGAGGTCGTTGGTTGTGCTCCGCAATAACCAGGGCCTCAGCTGGGGGCTGGAAGCATCTAGAAGCATCTTCACCTGTATGTCTGGTAGTTGGTGCGGACCAGCCTTAGCCAAGACAGCATCTGGGGCTGTCCCAGGCCAATTCCATATGGCCTTTCCATGAGGTCTGAGCGTTGCACAACATGATGGTTTCACATCCACCCAGATTCAAGGGAAAGGGACAGAGACCCCACTTCTCAGTGGGAGGAATGTAAGGAATTTGTGGTCATTTTTATAAAGCACTAGAAGAGTCTCCTGTAAGATTCTGCTCCCCCTCCGGTTCTACTCCCAGTCCTCTTCCCACCAGGCCTAGGGATGGCAATACCCTCCCCCCACCTACCTACTGAGTACCTTTATCAAACTTCTCTCAAATTATTATAATTGGAGTAGTTCCTTATTTCTTGTTCAAACTCTGTCTTATACAGTAATTAATGCCAGAATCAGCCCTAAGGAAATAACTTCAAAATGGAATTCTAGGATTATGTTGCTAATATATTCAAGGAATACAGGTGTGATTTCCTTCCTCGGGACAAGATTGCATGTTGGGCAATCCATATTACGTGGTGGTATCACAGTTTCTCAGAGCATCACCAGCAGTGCTATGGAATGAGTTACAGATGGTGAGAAAGACAATGGGAGACTCAACTGACAGAGGCATTTAGTCACTCTGGTGAGAACTATGGCATCAGCTGATTGTAGAGTGACCTGTCAACCTGTTATAGCCCTTCTTTTTATGGCATACATAGGGGAAAATAAATTACACAGTATGCACAAGAACACCCATGAACATACATGAACATACATGAACGTATATGGAGAATCAGGACACGTCCACAGTGTTCTAGAGGAGTCTTCCGTATCCTGTGCTTGTAGACAGATACTTAGACTTAAGACCAGGTTTAAGGGCTGAGCCTATGAACTGCAGACTTGCAGTGACAGTTAAATGGCCCAGCCCATCAGGTCTGTTACGCTAAGGTGTGGAGAGTTACTGGTGGAAAGAAGTGGAGATCTGAGACCTCGATGAGAACTGCCAGTCTCTGAGGCAGTCGTCTTTTCTCTGCATAGAAGTCTTTCAGTGACTGCACCGGGAATAGTTGCTTCACGAGCCAGGCTCTAAGCTCCTGAGAGCCCCTGTTCAGCCACTTTAAGAGACAGATGAGTCATGGGGAAATGACAGACACCACAAATGTATTCAGCTGTGATAACAAGAACTTTTCAATTCCAGATGCAGTCTCTTCTCTGGAGCAAATTAGCACAGCCCTAGGCACCTGGTACAGATGGAAAACCGACCTAGAAAATGCTTTTTCCTTCATTCCCATTAATAAGCAAAATCAGAATAGATTTGCATTTACAAGGTGGGAACAAGAGTGTTCCCTTTACCTTTCGTGTCTCTGGACAATGCCAGCTCCCTTGTTCTTTGTTGTAATGTGGACCCCCGGGGACTCCAAACATTGTGACATACCCCAGAATACCATACTGGTTCACGCTGGCAGGACCTGGTAAACAGGAAAGAGCAGTCACTCTAAATGCTTTTGTGATTAATATGCAGAAACACACACACACACACATGCGTGCGCGCACGCACACAGACCCATGTATAAAACAAAGAAGCCTATCTTTTCTTGACTTCACTGTGAATGGATCCCATATTTTACTCTTTAATGTTCACTGTTAGTTTTAAACAAACACTTTTTTATCACATTTACAGAGAGTAGCTTTCCCAGAGATTTCCCAGTGCTTTGCTGGGGCTGTCTAGTAGCATTCCATGACATTCCATCAGCAGCTTGAAATCAGGTCTGATGGGAGTCTTTACATCATGGAAGGTCATCTTTGGTAGGATCACACTCAGAGTGTACCGATCATTAACAACTTAGCTGGATTCATTTGGCTTACATTTTATTTAGAATTTTTCATCTATACTAATCAGTAAAATTGGTTTACCTCTTCCAGGAGCTCTATTTACAAGGTTTGGGCATGAGAGTGATATTAAACTTGAAAATAAAGTAGGAAAGTTTCCATCTTTTCCTGTTAACTTGCTGGTCTAGACTGGCTTCACTAGTGTAGTAATCATGCGTTTAATCAAAGCTAGGTAGAAATGCCACTGAGCTTTGTCTTTCTAAGTGCTAGATGCTTAGCTATCTTCTCCATTCCTTATCTGAGCATCGGTATTCTCATTTTCTATTACCCGTAGCTAATGTGAATGTATACATTCGAGTTGTGTCTCCCCACGTGTGCCATAGAGCATTATCTACATACACACATATTTCTCTCTTTCTCCCTTCACCATAGTGGGTGAGTGTTTGTCTATTCTATTGGATTTTCAAAGAATCAACTCTTGGTCTTTTTTAAAAAATTTTTTAAATTTATTTTCAGCGTAACAGTATCCATTGTTTTTGTTTTTGTTTTTAAAGATTTTATTTATTTATTTGACAGATAGAGATCACAAGTAGGCAGAGAGGCACGCAGAGAGAGAGAGGAGGAAGCAGGCTCCCCGCTGATCAGAGAGCCCAATGCAGGGCTCGATCCCAGGATCCTGGGACCATGACCTGAGCTGAAGGCAGAGGCTTTAACCCACTGAGCCACCCAGGCGCCCCAGTATTCATTGTTTTTGCACCACACCCAGTGCTCCATGCAATCCGTGCCCTCTCTAATACCCACCACCTGGTTCCCCCAACCTCCCACCTCCCGCCCCTTCAAAACCCTCAGATTGTTTTTCAGAGTCCATAGTCTCTCATGGTTCACCTCCCCTTCCAATTTCCCTCAACTCCCTTCTCCTAATTCCCCTTGTCCTCCATGCTATTTGTTATGCTCCACAAATCAGTGAAACCATATGATAATTGACTCTCTCTGCTTGACTTATTTCACTCAGCATAATCTCTTCCAGTCAAACATAGATTTGAAGTTGTTGGTTTTTTTAGAGATTTTATTTTTATTGTTTTGAGAGAGAACATGAGCAGGAAGGACAGGTTTTTAAAATTTATTTATTTATTTGAGAGGTAGTACAGGGAGGGGCAGAGGGAGAGAATCCTCAAGCAGACTCCCTGCTAAGTGTGGAACCCAATATGGGTTTCAATGCCATGACCCCGAGATCATGACCTGAGCCGAAACCAAGAGTCGGGTGCTTAACCAACTGAGCTACTCAGGGGCCCCTGAGGTTGTGTTCTATTTCATTAATTTCCCTTTAAACCTTCAAAAATTCTTTTACTTTCTTTTGGTTTTATTTTTTGTTTCCTGGAACCTGGAGTTTAATGACTAGTTCATTTATTTTCAGTCTTTCTCATTCAATGTGGTAGAAGTATTAATAATTACTCTCATGGAGGTCATTCATTTACAAACAGCTACTGAGTAACTGCTGTGTTCTAGGTTCTAGTAGAGGGATGGGTAAGCTAGAGCC